AAAAGGGCAAAATTGGTTCCTATTGCTTACAATGCAACATGATGCCCACAAATTTTTCCTTCTGAGACCATGTTGTGTTATTTAGATAACTAGCCTCAATTCCAGGCTCCGTAGTGCTGCTGAAAAAAAAATATTCTGTTTATCCTTACTGGAAAGATTTAAAGGTAAGTGACTAAAAGTTATTAAGCCTCACAAGAAAAAACTTCAATTCAGTTGAAGATGAGGGGAAGGAGGGAGAGGGAAAAAGGGGGAGGACTGGTGTGTTCTCACTTAATGGGCACAATGTGGGGGTCTACGGCACACCCCCTGGGGGTGAGACACAACTACAACAGAGACTATACCTAATAAATACAAACACTATAACCTAATTCTTTGTGTCCTCAAATTAACCTAAAACTTTAAGAAAGTAAAATACAAGCGATGAATAATAAAGTAAATAAATTATAAAGCACTATATAGATGTCAGTTTATATATAAACTCGTTCATTTTATCATGTTCCTTCTACGTTCCACTCTTCATAAAAATGTGAATTTTCCTGACTGTGATTCTATACAAAATTTTGGAATGTACTGAAATTCTCAAAGGCAACCTCTGCCTTGGCTTTCCCTGATCCTATCAACTCCTAAAGGGTTGCAACACCTGGCATAAAAAACGTACTTCATAAGTGCCACCTGTGACCAACATGATTTCCAGACAAAGAACAAAGAAAACAAGGAGGAAATAATCAAAGAAATAACAGAAGAAAACTTCTGAGAACTAAGAAGTATCTGTATCTTCATACAGAAAAGGGCCATAGAGTGTGAAGTACCCAATTAATGAGAATAGATCCAGATCTAGTCATTCTGTCTTAAATTTCAAACATCACAGGGTAAATGAAATATTTTCAAAGCTCTTAGAGGATCACCTCCAAGTCACCTACAAAGGAATGAGACTGACCTACTTCAGACTTTCTACCACAACACTGGACAATGGATCTCTGAAGGCAAACGATTTCCATCCTCAAACTCCACAATGGAAACAAGCAGAATAACCAAAACCAAATACTGTATACACTATGAACTAAAAAACAGATATCAAGGACTGGGGAGAGGAAGAAAAAAGCTCATATAATGAGCTCATATATTAATGAGCTAAATCTTCATTTTTTATGTAAGAGTCAATAAAATCATCTAAAGCTGATAAATTTAGAAACAGATGTATGCATATTATCTAGAACTACTGCCATAATTTTTAGTAATGAAGGAGAGAAACAGCCAAGGATTAAGTAGGAAATGGTTTTAAAGAGGTTGTTTCTGGGGACAGATGAGGTGGCTCATTTCTATCACATTATTGATTTGCCACCATATGCAAGTATTCATAAAAAAACTTTCATAAAAAGTAAATGTTCTAAAACTGCTCTAAAAAAAGTCTTTAAAAAAGTCAATGTTTTAAGATAAATGGACCCTAACAGTAGTATAACAATAACTTTCACCACAAAGTCTGCCATTTGCTATCATACATTTATTGCTTTCTAAACAAGCAATAATTTTCAGTCCTATGGACAGAAAATAAACTTAAAAGTATAAATAAAATGTTTAAATTAAAGCCGCTACAGGTGAGAGTGGCAGAGAAACATATTCTTCACCCTATACAAGCTAGTGTTTGCATACATACACTGCCTCACAGCATTAGAAGAACAAACATTTAATATCACCATGCAAAAGTGATATGGAAAACACACTGCTGAATTTCCTGTAATGTATTCCATAACTATGTAGGAATAAAAAAATGACTTGCCTCATAAACAGTTTCAAGTGAGGGGCTGACACAAGAAATGACATATGTCTTCTTTTTTCAACGACAATTCTTTATCACAATTATTAAGAATGTTCAAATATATATTTTCTTCAATGAAGAAGAATTTGAATAATCTCTGTGATTTCAGTGTTAATATCACATATTTACAGTGCATTCCTAACATCGATAAACATAATGCCTCTTTCCCTTCTCAGTCTAGAGACTTCTATTTATTTCTTCATGGCCTACAGATCTGAAGCACCAAGAGAAAAGAAAGGATATATTTTCCTTTATCATGACAAATATCTTGATACTTTATTTTTACCATCTAGGTAAAACCAAAACCAGTGAATGTTTGTAAAGAAAACTGATGGTATCATCCTGGTATTATTCAGCCTGAGTGCCTCTGTTACTTAGATGGTATTTTTAAGTAGGTGCACTCAAAACAAAGCTATCCCTAATTACTTAATTCCATTTCCACATCTTAACTGCTGCTTGCAAATATGACACTGAGCTTACAGACATCCCTTTCTATTTTATGCCACGTTTTAAACACCTGCTATGGTGTTTACACATCTCAGTGCTATGCATGGAGTTACATGGAACACAGGAGCTCAAAGAAGAGCTAGAAAAAAAACTTTTGTCTCTTTGTCAAAAGTCACATTGTTTTGATATAGTATGAATATTTTATGTAAATATTTTATGTAAAGGAGAAATTACTCTCCTGAAATAACACCCAGCACCAAATGGAAAAAAATCATCCCGCACTGTGAAAACATTTTGTTTTGTTTGTAGGTGTGTGCCAGATAAAGTGTGACTGACGACCAGACACACTTCACCAACTGTTGGGTGCCAGTCTGCGAAGGGACTAGAGCTTACACAGTTTTAACAGCAATTTGACAGCTGCTATTTTATCTGTTGAAATAAATAGTTTTTAAAACTGGGCTTGTGCTTTATAAGCCTTTTAAGTATTTATACTGCCTAGCAATTCATTTGTATTGTAAAGTGTTTATTTGAAAAACGGAAAATTTAAGAAAACACCAACTATTATAGATAGCTTGAGAAGCCCTGAAATTGATTAAGTGAATGTCTGAATGAAAAGTAAATCAGAATGCAGCCTTCAATGTATCTAAAATGGATGGTCATAAAATGAGAGATTTTTTTTTTGCCCTCATTAGAGTGCTGTGGTGTCCATAGCTTGTAACAACCTCAAACTCTTGGGCTCAAGAGATCCTCTTGCCTCAGCCTCCCAAGTAGCTGGGACTATAGCTGCCCACCACAATGCCTGGCTATTTTTTAGAGATGGGGTCTCACTCTTGCTCAGGCTGGTCTCGGACTTGTGAGCTCAAGCAAACCACCCGCCTCAGCCTCCCAGAGTGCTAGGATTACAGGTGTGAGCCACTGCACCTTGTCTAAAAAAAAAAAAAAACTGATCTATAATGATCAGTAAACTTAGAAAGTGTTGGTTTCTTAGCACTCTGGGAAGCTGAGGTGGGTGGATTGCTTGAGCACAGGGGTTCGAGACCAGCCGGAGCAAGAAAGAGACTTCATCTCTACTAAAAAATAGAAAAACTATCCAGGTGTGGTGGCAAGTGCCTGTAGTCTCAGCTACTCCCGAGGCTGAAGCAAGAGGATCACTTGAGCCCTAGAGTTTGAGGATGCTGTGAGCTATGATGTTACTGCACTCTAGCCTGGGCCACGGACAGGGTAAGGCTTTGTCTCTCCCTCCCCTCCCCCAAAATGTTTTAGTTCTTCCAAACTGAACGTCCCTCTCTTCTCTTTCTCTCTCCTTCTCCCCAGCTAGAGGCCTTTGCCTGCTGGTGCTCCATCGCTCTCCGTGACAGGTGCACATGACTTTAATTTGGAAATTAAACCCACAAGGCCAAGAACACCCACCTGGCGTCTCCACCCGGCGGTAGTGGTATGGGTTAATGCACACCTCCTTCTGCTTGGAGCCAAAGGGGAACTCACAGCATTCCAGTGGCTTCAACTCGTGGTGGGACTGCAGGTCGGGCCAGCGCCACACTCGGCAGTAAATGACGTGGGGCAGCCCCTTGCGGTGGGACACCTGCAGCCGCCCGTCCAGGGAGCGGGGGATGGTGACGCACTTGCTGGGCTGCCCAGGGCAGCTGAGCGCCCTCTCCAGCTCGTCCATGGCCCCCTTCTTCTTCTTCAACTTCTTCACTAGAGAGTCCACCGCCTTCTCCGCCCACTTCTCCTCTTCATCTCCTTGCTTCCAGCCTAGCAGTCTCTTCACTGCTGGGCTGGTGAAGGAGAAGAGCGAGCTGATGGGGGTGGTGGAGTGCATACAGACGGCCTGCAGGCCGCGCAGACCTGCCACACGCCCTTCACGACCTTCTTGTCCGGGTTAGCGGCCTGCCTCTCTCCAGGGATGTCATAGGTGCAAACCTGCTCTTCGGGAAGCAACTGGAATCGATTCAGGTGGGGAAGTGTATTGACTTTCTCCTAAGCCCTGAACGCACTGCCCAACTCTGGAAAAAAAGATGAGACTTCAGTGAGCTCAATCAGGGTCATGTTCAGAAAAGGTTACCCTTGGATAGAAGGGAGAAAACATTCTTCAATTTATTTTATTTATTTATGTGTTTTGAGACAAAGTCTCACTCTGTGCCCTGGGTAGAGTGCCCTTGCGTCATAGCTCACAGCAACCTCAAACTCCTGGGCTCAAGTGAGCCTCCTGCCTCAGCCTCCAGAGTAGCTGGGACTACAGGTGCCTGCCAGTAGGCGGCTAGTTTTTCTATTTTTAGTAGAGACGGAGTTGAATTCACTCTTGCTCAGGTAGGTCTTGAACTCCTGAGCTCAGGCACTCCACCCACGTAAACCTCCCAGAATGCTAGGATTACAGGTGTGAGCCACTATATCTGGCCTGTTCAAATGTTTTAACTTTATCTTTGACTCTGCTCTCTCCTTGACTCTGCTCCCCTCTCTTGGTCATTCTGCCTTCAAATGTCTTTCCAAGTTTATCCCTTTCTGTGTCTGCCAACATCTGAGGTCTGGCTCACTGCTACTCACCTAGATGACTGCAAAACTCTGAAAAAGCGTCTCTCCCTCGCTCTCTTCCTATTCTAATCTATTTACTCCTAAACACAACTCTTACTAAGTCATTATCCTATTTAAAACATTATGGTGGCTCCTCGGTTTCCCATGTATAAACCTCTTTGCCTGGGTTTCCCAGGCTTCATACTCTTCACTAAACATAAGGACATTCTTTCTGTCTTGTTTTTAGTTTGCAAAAGTCATCCATCTTCAATGCAGAAAATATGTATATACAAATGAAAAGAAAAAAATTAGGATCACAAATAATCTCACCACTCAGGGACAGCCACTTTTAACACATATTCTTCCAAATTTCTTTATAAGACAATGGTTCTTTTCAAAGTGTGCCCCAAGCCTCCCTGGAAGTCCCTGAGACTCTTTCAGGGGGACTTTAAGACCCATTCTTTCCTAATTACATATCTGTATGAGCTAAAATCTATTCATGTATTTCAACCAAAACAACTTATCACAAAAGATTTGTATGCAGAGTCCAGGCACCAGTGGATCATACCTGTAATCCTAGCACTCTGGCAGGCTGAGATGGGTGAATTGCTTGAGTTTGTGACCAGCCTGAGCAAAAGTGAGACCCCATCTCTACTAAAAATAGAAAAACTAGCTGGGCATTGTGGCAGGTGCTTGTAGTCTCAGCTACTCAGGAGGCTGAGGCAAAAGGATCACTTGAGCCTAGAAGTTTAAGGTTGCTATGAGCTTTGACACTATAGCACTCTGCCTAGGGAAACAAAGTAAGACTCTTCTCCAAAAAAAAAAAAAAAGAAGATCGAATGCAGAAGCAGATATGGTCATTTATTAAAGTAGACATTTAATAACTTGGAAATACATAAAGCAATTACTCTCTTCTTAAAATGACAAGTCTAAAACTCTTTGGAGTTCTCACTTTTATAGAAAGGGGTCATAAGATCACAAAGCTTAAGATCACTGCTTTTCTAGAAATTACATAGTCATATATACAAATGAATGCATAAAATAATACAGCTATCATATTTGTTTTGCCGGAAAATCAGCTAACTTCTTTTCCCTCTCATCCAAAGGAGACATTCTTTCCCACTTATTTACAAGTCCCACTTAAATTTCCTGAGGTAGAACTGTATTTTTTCTTCTGTGAAATACTTGGCTTAAACAAAACCACCTCCTTCTTCCAGATTTAAGAAACCAGCTACCTCATTAATGTTTAAAGTGGCTGCTGGTAACAGTTTGGAGCAAGCGGACTCCTTTTAAGATCTTGGAATCAATTGAGCTCATTCATTATCTCCAACAATTGTTTGTTTAATATGCATTAAATGTAATTTTCTCCTTTGCTTCCCTGGAGGGCAAGCTGTAGCTTTCTGAGTTCAATTCCATATACTTCTTTTGAACAATGGTGCTAACTAAACCCCTGCTCTGGGGATCACTATCAGGCACCTCGTGTGAAGAGGATGGCAGCAGGGTTACATAAAAATGGATGACATTTAGCAAGTAGAATGCAACATTCACATCACTTTATTCCTCATCTGGCCTTTATTCAGCATTGCACAGAGGTAAACGATGATGAAAGGGAGGGTTGAGGGCTCCAGAGCTGTTGTTTTTCACTTGGCAGTTTGACTTACACTCAGTTTTATTTGGAAAGGTTGATTTTGTGACTTAACAATCATGAATTTATAAAGTATAGTTAGGCCAGTGTGTTCAAATTCTGTTTACTTAATCTAGACAGGCTGCCTTAAAGCAATGGTTGGCAGAGGTTAGGAGCTTTCAAGTAAGTAGTATGACACGGAATAACCTGAACCCCAAAAGAGCTCTGAATTCTGCTTAGTTTTACATGGGATTTGTTATTATTAAATTATGGCATAAATCTTTAGCCATAGGTCAATGTCAAAGAAAAGCTTTTTATAAAAATGTTCAGCAGAGTTAAACTAAATATACTTTCTTAAAGAATTTTGCTCCAAGAAACAAATAACGGTTCCTTAAAAAAGGTTTTGTTTGGGTGTTTTTGTTAAACTGTGGGTTCCTATCTATTAATGGCATGTGAAATCAATTTACTGGAACAAAGTAGCTTTTGTAAAAACAACAAAACAAGATAGACCATATTGTAGGGCAGCTAACAAAGAAATAATAAATATAATAATGATAGTATCATCAAAGCTTTCTGCTCAGAGGAACATGTGCATGTTTGTTGTCTCCAGGGTCACAATGCAAAATTTGTTATTGTGTATTAAAATTTTAAAAGTGTGAAAAGAACTACTCCGAAACCATACATTTCTTCAAACTATGTCAGCCTAAGATTTGCTTTGATGAGTGACTTGCAGGGGTCACCATCGTTTCTCATTCCTTCAGGAAATCCCAAGTAGCCTGAACGTAGAGTCTGAAAAGTCTGGGCTCTCTGCAGTCTGATCTCACAGCTGCATTTCAAACCATTATAGTTGTCTTAGTGGCTCCAAAATTATTTAGATTGTATATAAAACCAGCACATTGTACCCCATGTACAATGCTTATTGCCGCAACACACAGTTCCTGCCCCATTAAACAAAAGCCTTTGCATTGAGGGAGGCCCTTAAGAGTCAAATTTAGTATGATACACACCAAATTCATAACAGTGGCCTCTCGATAGGAAAAGGAGACAGAAGTATTAAAAAGTTATGATTCAATAAGCCTGACTGGTGGAGTCAAGATTCTTCAGAATAATATTTTCTATACTTGTTTATGTTTGATATATTTTTAGATAGAAAAAAGTATAAAAAAAAATGAAGGAAACCTGGAATCTCACTAACACTAAGGTTCTATCCTGTTAATAGTTTCTATTTGTTCAGGTCATGATAGTTAGGGTTCAAAAAGGTTATGCCATTCTCATTCCTATAATGTTTTAGCTGCTAGTAAGACAAAGGGCCTCCTTATGTATCTCCACCTGGTCATCACACGGACACCAATGGTCCAGCTCTGTTTAATCCTGCCAACCTGGCTCAGAACAGCTTTCACTGTCAGAGAATTTAGGTGCCAATGGGCTCTAGGCTCTAATCTGCCAACACCTCCTGAAAACTACACTGCCTAGGTTCACTGTAGTGATTAAAACAGAGCACTCTCAGAGGGGTCAATGGGAAAACAACTGCTGGCAAAAACAGGAGGAGCAATTAGTATTTCTTATAGTTACGCCATTTCTTAAAAGTAACAAGGAACAAAAACAATAAATGAGGCACCTTTTAAAGATGAATGTATGTGAAAGGTTTATAAACAGAATCAGAAATATAACCAGATTAGTTTCTACAAAATGTAATGAGAGCTAGGAGAGAGGCAGAAGGTGGTATATGAAGAAAGAGTTCTCTTTTTTATTATTAAATCATGCAATCATGGGGTACAATATACAATTGTACAATATACAATATACAATATATACAATATACAATGGTTTTATATACAATTTGAATTATTTTCATCATACTGGTTAACATAGTCTAGTCTTCATGCCATTTTCTTAGTTATTGTGTTAAGATATTTATATGCTACATTTAGTAAATTTCACATGTACCCTTGTAGGACACATCATAGGTGTGGTCCCACCGATTAATGAATATTACAAGAAACGCTATTCTTGGAAATACTACAAAAATCTGAACGAAATAGACCAATACTTGGAACATGCCACCTTCCTAGACCTAGCCAGAATGAAGTGGAAATGTTGAACAGGCCTATATCAAGTTCTGAAATAGCATCAACTATACAAAATCTCCCTAAAAAGAAAAGCCCAGGACCAGATGGCTTCACATCAGAATTCT